GCATCTGCTGTGAAGCACGTAGTTATCATCATGTTAAAGGTGTCTCTTTCCTTGAAGAAACCTTAGGTACCCCCTGACCTTTAGTGTTTGTTTATATCCCTTGCCTCCAAAATGAGGGTCATGTTGTTGGACTTTAGTTTTTTTAAGCCTAAGGAGTTTTTCCAGTTGTTTGGGTCAGTCAGTGCAGCATCTGTTAATGGGGCACTGTGGGACTAGCAATACCTTGTTGGGGCCGCACTTAGTTCATCACAGGGGCCGTGGTGGTATTTCCTCCCTTAGTTCCACTGCACTACTTGACAAAAGCTTCTGCCCAATCCTCTAATGAGCTTCAGCCCTCTTCCAATTACCTTGATTTCTGATTACTCTGATCACTTCAATTCAAAGTGCTAGTGGCCAGACAAACCACTCTTCCTACCTCTCCAGAATGCTCAATGCAGCCACATTAACAACAGCGAAGCTCTTCTCAAACTGTATGGTGGGAGGTAGCCCGAGGTGCACCCCAAGTGGAAAGCTGCTAGAGAGCCAGTGCTCCTACTGCAGGTGCCTCTGGGTGAGAGGTCACAGAAGGGGCTCCAGGGCTCAGCAGATATGGCTCTATCTTCTCTGCCCTGCCTCACTCCCAGGCTCTTCTCAGCAAGGACTTTTTTTTTCCTGGGCAGGTTCCCTGCAGCCACATTCCTAGTGGCTCGGTGGTAAAAACACCCTCTCCCTGGACTCATTCTCCAAGTCACAATGAATTTCCCTTGTGCCTCTAGACTGCTGCTGTTCCCCAGACAGTTTAGAAATTATCAGATTAGGAAAAAAGAGCATAAAATACAGGCTGGGGAAAGGGGGGAAATTTGTGACCTACTGCCCTAGAGGATATATTTGTGTTCTCAGAAGCAAAGGAGGAACTCTGCAGTTATAAAGCAAGTGTCCAGCACACACTGTAGCTTCCACCATGATGTGTAAATCAGAAACTACTGCTGCAATGCCACCCTCTGGAGCAATCTGTTAACATCTCAGGATGAGCACCCAGACTCTCTAAGCTGAAATGATGCTGCAACAAACCAGTGATCGGTAAGAAAAGAAGACTGGGGGAGGAATGAGCAGCACTGATCTTTTTTTTTCCAGGTCAGCTGTTGCTAGTTTAAAAAGATTTATATCCCACAATCATCCTAGCTGCGCTACTGAACTATAAAGCAACATTTAGCCTAGTAAAATAAACACTGGAGCAGCCTGCATCTACTCCGCAAAGCAGAGTGAGTGCACGCAAACTGGGAATGGTGACTGGAAATCCAGCTAATTAAGGTCTGATTCAACTAGGAGAGAAATTCTTGCCCTACTTAAAACCTATGGTAAATACTAAGCCTGGAAAAAAATGTACAATGCAAAAATGTGCAAAGAAGAGGTGAGAAGTACTATCGGCAGAGTCTGTAACTGATCTGATCTGGACTCCTTAATAAAGTCTGTAGCATAAAAGAAATCAAACTGAACATCTCCAAGGAAAAAATTCAAACAATTCTGGCTGTAGGCAAAAACACATTTAATACTTGCTGCCTTCTATGGCTGTATGTAATTGCCTGCTACACTTCCTGGGCAAACATGACCTTCTCATCTGGTACAGTGTGACACCTTTACCTGTTTATGTGTTTGTGCAAGTCAGGACTGAGAACAATAATTTAAGCTGGCCCAGCAGGCACCAAGGAGATACTACAGGCTTCAATGGATACCTTTGACTGTATGGCATCGTTTACAGTCCCTGCATTAATGTAATGCATCATACATCTCCAAAACTGTGACTCCAAAAGAATTTTCTGTGGCCTGGCTTTTTATGAGTTCAAAGGTGTTTCTTAGTTAAACAGACAGCACATTGTGCATTAAAGATCTGAAAGCAGCAGCTCACAGAGATCCAAATTAGACCCGGTGAACTGAGCATACTAGGTAGAGAATTTACTCTAAACAGATCCTGAAGTTCAGTGGAAGTGGCTTCCACTGCTTTTACTACCTCAGCCTGAAGGATAAAGGCAGCGTGGTGGACCTCAGGAATAAGAACACGTACATAACCTCCAGCTGAACATAATTATTTTTGCTTTCATCTTTGCATCCTGCTTGACGATTTCCACCAAGGTACCTTCCTGTTCCTACCAGTACGTAATTCTATCTAGCTGAGCCTGAAGAGCAACAAGACACTTCACAACAAACTCTCTAGCAGGGGTACAGCTCAGGCAGCACCAGTCTCAGCTATAGCATTCAGTATCTTGCTATCACAGGCACCAGATCCTATAAACTTCCCAATACTTCCCTGGTTGCCACGTTCAATATAATTCACGCCTTTAGGGAGTCCCATTCGTGCACTACTATCCAGAAGCGGATACTAACCTGTGCAGTACTGCAAAGCATCTAGTACAGTATGTTCCTACTTAATGTTGCTGTAAATGCCACACTGACTTACGTGTCTGCCATGTACCTGCCTTCAGGAAACGACCCTGTACCCAACTGCACAACAGACATGAGGACGTGGCAGCTATGCTAAGGGCTGGTTTCTAGCTTCAGCTGTAGGACACAAAGTGGTGCCTGGTGGACACAAAAAGCAGAAATCACTAATATTTGGGTTACTCAGATTATGAAAAGACGACAGACATGGAGCATTGATAGAGATTGCAATGCAGCTGACTTTTTTAATCACTTCTTGGCCCTGACCACTGCACTAAGCACACTACTAAGCTCTTCTTCCAGAGCACGTCAAGCTTTCAGAATGGACTACAACTAATGCAATGTCTTGTTTTCTATAGCCACCATCCTGCTGTTAGTGGCCCTGACTGAATAGGCTTTAATAATCTGGTTCTAAGTAAAATACATTTTTAAATTTTAAAAACAAAATTAAGTAAGTCTTATTCTCAAACCAGATGATCTTATAGCTGAAAGATACTGCTGTCCATCAGCCCTGCCTTCTGTGTAATGTTTGTAAAGAATAACCAGAAAGCACTTTCAGCTATCTAGTAAGCAAACCAGAGAACCTGAAATGACTGTTACAGTGTTCCTCAGGGTCCTTGAATATCCTCTTAAAGAAACAGCAAAAGAATCCACTTACAGATGTATGCCTAGTTATAGATCATGCAAATGTATATGTGGTCTATCACACAAAAGACACAATATACCATCTTTACTTCGACCTGCCTTGTACTTGCTTACTAGAGTGCAGCAGCCCTAACTGAAAAGCAATCAGTATATATCTACCAGTTATGATACCTGTATCATCTTCTAAGCAGGCAACTGATAGCCTGAATCTGTGCTTTTTGCTCAAGCACCCTATCAGCTTTTCTTTTTTTTTTTTTTTAAAAAAAAAAAAGGAAAAATTTCTATACTAAGCATATCTAGGCTCTGCTAGAACCCACAGTACTGGTCCCCAAGCACTCAAAGGGCTTTATTGGAGTGCACTGTTGCTCCCTCCCACCCCAGTCACCTTTATTTCCTTCCAGAGAAGGGCTGGGCACATTAGAAGATGCGTGGCCTTGTGCTCATATGCAGGTAGAATGCAACCACAATTTGTCCCCTGGACTTAGGACACCAAGAGGTGTCATGGAGCACATCTGTGCTGCAGTACAGAAGACAACACTCAGGCCATGTTTTTTTCTGACTTCTGAACCTGCCAGTGAAACAGTAACAGTTGTATAGAACTAACTATGTTTCTTAACCCCACTCCACCTCTCCACACTCCTCACTATCCACACTGAATTTCAGGTGGGAGGTATCTCTTCAATCCAGCTGCAGTAAAATCCATCCATTTACCAGCCCTGTGTTTTTGTGTGGATTTGGGGGGATTTCATGCTGAACTGTTACTGGTGTGTTACAGTTAGTAGCTGTCACAGGAGAAGAGACGGAGATCACTCAGACAGATCTGATCTAGTAGTTAGTTTATTGAGTTCTAATCAGTAAATTTAGGTATGTAAAATATTTAATAAGTGCAGATGGATTCGCGGTCAATACTCTACTATTTACTACACTTAAAGTTAGTATGGGATACAAAGGTTATCGCTTAAGCTTACTATACATATCTTAAATGTTACATGCATGCAAAAAATGTCACTTACCAACCCATCAATGTCTGGTGTCAGGTAAGGGATCCCTCAGCCTCGAGGGGTAACCTTGAGAGGCATCCCTGCTCAAGGGGAGATCACTGCCGCGCAGCCAGCTGCTATGGAGGGAGACCTCAACGGACCCTGATGGCTGCAGATATTTATAGCGTAAAGTAGTTGATTTGTAGTCAGATTTTCTGCTGTGTTAATGCAGTTTCGGACGCTTCTCGGCCCCGTCTCCAGCCAAACCGTTTTTTTTTGGGTTTAGTGCTGAGTTCTCACTGATAGCTTACACAATAGGATTAACTTTGATTAGGCCTACTTGCTGAGCACCTGCCTGCACTAAAGTTCAGTTAGTTCAAACAGGAGGAGTGCATCCATCACAGTAGTCTATAAACAGCAGTACCTAGTCAAAGTTTTAGCTTTTTCTGTGAGCTAAATAGTACCTGCTCTTTTTTATTCTAACTAAATTGTGAAACTGGCAAACTGCTCTGAATTCTTGTCCATACTGAAATGGACTGAAAACTAAACAATCTGATAAATATTTATCTAGCAAGGCAGCTATGACATCCAGAGGAGATGCCTGGTCTTGGAATACTTTTATTGTTCTCATTGACGCTTCTACTACTAAAATCAGGTATTTAAACCAACCTGTTAAACAACAGCAGACACATCTCATGAAAAAGTTTTTATTTTTAACTGTTATATAGCTCCAGAGAATGAAAATTATTCCCTAGAGGAAAACAATTACATTTATTCAATGAACACTTCCTAAAAAGTACATAACTTAACTGCCAACAGGAAGGAGATTCTGGTTTATTTTCCACTGCTCCCATGACGCCATGCCTTCGCAAAGCTACCGGCCTCTTTCATTCAGCAGAACATTTTCAAGAGAGACTGTTGGAGGACTGCTGTCCTCCTTTTTTGCAGTTGTGGCTGTCATTATTCTTCTTCATTTGGAAGAAACCCTTTTGCTCTGTCCAATTTGTCCAGAACCTCACTATAAAGACCAATCATCTGGAGAATATAAACACCACAGTTGTCAACAAGGATGGATAAAGTTGTATCATTCAACTAGATAATACAACAAAGTGACAGGGAACAGAAGCAAGGGAATAGGAGGGAGACTACCACCAGCTTCTAAACCTAAAATTTCAGATTGATGTAAAGATTTTGGCACAGATTTAAACACAGTGATTTAAGAAAAAAAAACTTAAATCAGTACAACCTAACAAAGGTGCTTTTATTTATGCTGACATAAAGCATAGTTTATAGCTGAGTCTTACATCAGCGAATAAACCTATTCACAGAATCACAGAACAGTTGAGGTTGGAAGGGAGTGATCTCACTTCTTATGGTCTTAAGTGATGTACTTAAAATGGTATAAAAGTTGCAACCAGCTCTATTGCCCAGCTTGTTCGTAAGAGAATGAATGATGACTGCATACATCAGCCAGGCTACACTGTGTTGCTATCAAGGAAGGAGCACCAGCCAAAAACTGTAGAGAGAAGCTTACTTATGACAGAGTAAGAAAAAGCATCATTGCTTTCTACAGAGGTACTAGCCCTGAAATTTCTCCCTCAGAGGAAGTGGCTAAGCTACACCTGAAAAGACGAGCTTTAATGATTTTATTCATATCACCTTAAACCCTATTTATAAGACATTAGATTATACTAGAAACAAAGCTCGAAAGTATTCATACAACAACTGATTTAAGTAAACTGGTACAGCCCCTTGACTTTAGTGAAAGCAGGCAAGGTACAAGGGTTTTCCTATGACCACAAATAGTCAGAAGTTTATTTCCAGTCAGCCATTTACACAATCCTTCCAGTAAAAGGATACTACACTTCTCTTTCTATTGTCTATCAAAACTTTTCTGGCCTCACTTTGAAAAAATCTTTTATCATCAAGCTCCCCCAAAATATTTAGGTACCATGCTTCTCCTGAAACTCTTTAAAAAGATCATCTGTAGTGGTTTCTTCACCCAGATCCATATCTCAAATTCAGGCTAGACACCCAATCCCACGTCCTCAAATCCATCTGCTTACACTTACATGGCCTTCATAGCTTTTCTTCAGAGATCCTAAGTGATTGAGGAAACGCATTCCTAATCCACACCACTGCTCAGCTTCCTTATATTTACCAATGGTATACTGAAATATTCCTGTATTCCAGGCTCTTGTCATCAACCAAAGGATCTCCATCTCTGGGTAAGCATCCTGAAAGTAGCAAACAAGAAGCAGCAGCTCATCAGAAAATAGACTCTTCCCTTTAAACCTGACAAGTCAAGAGTGCATTAGAATTTAGTTTTAGAGTGGGAAAACAGTTGGGCTTTTTTTTTCCCCTAAGCAAAGGGCAATTCCTTCAGAGCCATCCTGTACTTCACAGTTCATCTGCACTACTGTCAAACAGCTTGTTTCCAACATGGGTAAGTTGTTGCAATTACCTATTGGTAGGTCAGAAAATACAATTCTGTGGGACTGGGAATGATGGAAGTATGCTTTCCAACAGCCTGTCTGCAGACAGGCTGAACTTTCTGCCGCGGTACTTTCCAGTTTATCCAAACAGTACTGAACAGCAGAACATAGTTCCTCTCTACAGATTAGAAGCAGCAGTCCTTATGTCTTCAGAATTTCTCTATGCACTGTGGCGATGGCTTGCTAGAGTGAAGGCTGCTCTTACAACTGCAGAACAGAAGCCAGACTACCCAACAATACTTTGAACCTGGTGTGGAACTGATTCATTTGCAGAAGTGAAGGACAAGCAATTATTTATTTGCCACGCAAATCCTTAAGGGGAGGACTGGAAGGACTTCTTTTCCATCTTTGATAGATACTTCTCATCCTAAACAAGAGGGCCCACAGTGAATTTCTGAGCTGCAGCATCCATTTCTGAATAGGAGATATAAATAATGAGTGGTGTACCAGCTTTCTGACTGATAATGTACTGATGTGCTGCCCCAGTGTCCTTCTCTTAGCATGGTACCATTAGTACCGGCTGCCATGAGCAAGACTGCAAAAGAAGGCTGCCTAGTACTGTGAAATTTTGCTGTTACGAGTATCAGTCCACATTAACATTTCATTCGTATCCCTCAACAAGAACATTATTAAAGTTATAGTTGAGAACTTCAGTGAGAGGCAGGCACAAATGCGGACACATCGGTTTTTCTGGGAAGTCAGGAACAAGCGTATCTTTATGCCACTTTTATAAAAGAAGAGACATTCAAACCTGACTAAAGAAACAGCCATTCAATGGAATGAAGCTATGAAACATAGTATTGGTTTCATTAGTCCTCACCAGGAATACTCCTTAACTGATTTTTACCTATGAAATTCTAAGTAGAAATGTCTGACTTCCTCAGTACAACTGCCTTCACTGTACAGCATTACACTTCAGGCCTGAAAGGAGCAGCTTACTGAAAGAAGGATTTTACTCTCCATGTACCTGTTCTCACAGAAACAAGGCACGTGGTGCCACAAGTACTGACAGCACAGGAATCTAGTTCTAGGTCATTTGGAGAAAATAGTAACGTAGTAAGTTCCCAAATACATTTAACAAAACGGAGCTGAGAAAAAAGCAGGACTGGTATCCAAATTTTAGCCAGCTTTAAACTGATCTGGAAAAGTAATCTGCATTTAAAAAACCATATTCAGCGTAAGAATGTAGAAAGCACGAGGAGGAAAGATGGATGTTCTAGCTCAAGATGTTTCTAAAATAGGCACTGAAAATTTGGCCTTAATGTCTCTAAAAAAGCCCTTACAAAATCCAGGAAATTTATAATTCAGTCATAAATATCCAAGAGGCATTTCTTTTGAGGTAATTTCAGTGTATCTTTTACTGAAGTAATCTTAGCTGCTCCACATATAACACTATATAATGTTCAGTCTACTAATTATTCTCAATCTCATGCGAATTTTTTTAAAATGTGCTCAGGATCATCTCCCAATCTCTTGTTTTCCTGTTCAACTTACTGTGCTGCTGACTACGCTCAGAGCATCTTCAAAGTAGTCCCACACCTCCTGCAGTACACAGGCATCCAAGTCTGTTAATCCAGTCGGCAAAGAAAGATTAATCAAACTATGTAAGCATTTGCTGAGAATTGAAACAGAGCAAAAGAGGAAACATTAAATACCACGTGCACAAACAGCTACTTTTTAGTATCAGCAGTACATTAATTTATGTCTCTATGATTGTCAGACAGACATGTCCACCTTGGTGCTTACCACACTCATATTCTTATAGCAGAAATATAGATCTCCCTAGTATCAGATCTCATTCATACAAACTATGCAAAAAGAGAGCCAAGAGCAGCAAGTACTTAATTATTTTCATTGCTGGACTCTGAAGTAACAGAGACAGAAGGACAGCCATAATATTTTCTAGGGTGCTACGCACGACAGCAAGGAAAAAGTACCTTTTCTAACTTCACCAACAAGAACTAAGTAGTCAGCATCCTCAGAAAATCAGTAACAAATACATGGTTTCTGAAAACAGGTCTGTTTCTCATTGTGAAGTGAGAAAGGCAATATTAACAGTTGCCTTTGCCCAGTGGTTACTGCAAGGAACCCGGAAAGGAGGAAGAAAATCCTTTACGGGATACAAGTGAGAGAGAAGGACACACACCAGGTTGTTTTTCGGATTCCATAAGTTAACAGTTGTTAGAGAGCCAGTTACCCAGCAAAATAAATCACATTATGTACTATGGCATCATATCACTAACTTACAACTCATGGCTTTCTTCTCAGCCCTTAATTTCTCTTCACTTCATTGTCTTTGAAATACCTAGTTCACTACTGCAGGGTAACATTTGAAATTAACACCTTCCTTTTAAGAAACAGCCAGAGACCTCTTCTGGATCCAATTTTCATTTTCCTTCCTCAATAGATTCATTTATTAGAAATACGACTGTTTTAGAAAACATATCAAGTAAACAAATTGCGGTTAACACTTCTATTAGACAGTCATACTTGAGAGGTACATTGGTTGCCAGCAAGAAGTGGAACCTTGCATATAAGCTAAAATCCACTTTTTTCAAATTGCAGGCTTTATTCCCTGTCAGCATTTCCAGTTACAGGTTCATTGCAAAGCTATGTGATAACACTAACCTAAATTTCACAGCATCAATGAGAGTCTGCTTTCTGTGAAGGTTTAGTGCACTCTTGAGAGCTTTCTTACACAGTACAGGATACCAAGCTGGAGATTCCATTGCTAATGCTTAAAAGCAAAAGAAAATAGAGAAGAAGAAGAAAGAAATGACTGGAGCCAGACTTTAATCTCATTGATCACTAAAATAAACTACAGCATGTTGCCAAATCCCTTGTGATAAACAACTGAAAAGATATTTGCTTAATGCCTGGGCTGGTCACAAGCTAGTGCTTCTCTACTACTTTCTTACTGTGCACATCATCAATGAGGACTACAAGGCAGAAGCACAGCAGATTTAATAATTTACTAGTACTGTCACTGCTGTATACTTCTGGTGCAGTAACCCAAAAATATTGGGGGGGGGGCGGATCTAAAGTAAAGAGTATTGTTATGTTTGTCTCCTTGGAAATGAAAATCTGGATGGAAAAATTAGGCAGGTGCGGGATGTCAGTATGGCATTTCCAAGCCCAGGTGTGTACTCCCTCAAGACAAGAGAGATAAGTAGGTGTTAGGCAACCCTACAGAATCCCCTCCAAAGACTTGCCACAGTAGTTCTAAATTTTACTCATCTTCCTTGGATCCTACTCTAGATTCTCAAGGAGGCATGACTAGAATTTTCTAATGAAAGTATGGTACAGTATAGAGAGGTTCTATTTACAAATTAACTACACTAACTTTAAGTTGAAACTGCATATCTTTCCGAAGTCCACATTCTAAAACTTTTGTATTGGGGCATGAATGAGGTAGGGTCATTCTCTGGCCTTTACCAGTTTGGAGCATGTAAAAGTGTATCTGAATAATCTTTTCCAGACTCACAACCTATACAATGTCTCAGGGTCTAAATGGAAGGATGTCGCAAATTCCTGGTTCATCACCCATGTAATACAGTATTTCAAAATACAGCTCCCCTAATGTTGCTGAGATCCTAAGCATCTTTGCTTCAGGACAAAATATATATGGTTAGACCCATTTTCTCCATGCTGCACAATACATGATAATCCTGGTCACCCTAAATGAACAGGAAAGAGCTACAAAAGCTGTTTTTCTTGACTTGAAGAATATGAAAGTCCTTACATGCAATGATTTCTAGCGTCTTGACCTCTATTTGTGGTTGCTCCCATACTGACTCCATAAGGTTGTGGAGTGTTGGATCATTCAGTTTGGATCTTGCTTCAAATTCATACAGCAGAAGCAATGTGTCTGTTGGGTCTTTAGCAAAATCTCCTACAGAAAAGACAGAATTGCCTGTATGTAATGATTCATTTTCCTAAAGCCACATGGTTTACCATAAGGTATAAATTTTGCTTTCAACAGGCAGGAAAACCATTAAGGTACTCAGATTTAACAGCAGAGCAAGTGGAACTCTGAAGCAGTCTTGGACAGAAACCTCAGATGTCCAAAGCACAACCCCACCAACCACCATGCCTTCCCGTCCCTGTCCCCCCGTCCCCATCCCCCCCCGCCCTGTCCCCTTCCCCAAAAATAATCTGGATTGTCTGTAATTGGCTAAATTCATGCAACCCTCCTAGGCAAGGTAATAGCTACTAGGGAAGCGATTTTCTTAAGACAGGTAAAAGAGATAACAGGCTGCCACCAGCTCAGAAGGTCAGCTTATAAAAGAAATTATCATCAGCTTCAAATTTTTCTATAGGACTTGTCCCCTTTCTGGTAGAAAAGCCCTCAGAAAATCCTTAAACACAAAAGAAGGGTGGGAGAACAGTAGAACTGCTAGGAAGGTATAAACCTGATAAAAATGCCAAACAATCCTTTACTGAACTATCACAAAGACCTTTGTTTTTACATCTAAAAGACATTCTCAGCTTCCTCCAGGGCAACAGACTTGTCCACATGAAGAAGCGAAGGAAGCACCAGGCTAGCATTCCACAAACCTCTGCAGGAGAAACTCCAATATCTCAATGTCTTGAGATAATTAACCCCTTGGGATTTTAAAGATGGAAAATTAAAAGGGAAGAAGTCTTCCTGAGTTATCTTGCCTTCAGTGTACAAGGGCAAAGAGAATCCCAAATCCAGGCCATATAACGAACCTTTCATTCTGAAATTTTAAGGGGAAAAAAAAATAGCAAGTACATTGCTTGACAAAAGTTAAATACTAATGCATCTTACAATGCAAACTCCACTGTGTCCCAAACCTATAACTGAAAAGAAACCAGACCACAGGCCAGACAAGGAATGCCTAATGCAATTTTTCTACCAATATACTACTAAAAAAGTGAAGCATGCATCCTCTAGGCTAACAGTCACTCAGCATCTCAGCTGTCAGCTGAAAGTACACCAGTCTCCAGTAATATCTGATCTAACTTGACATGGAATAGTCAGGGAACAGAGGATGGGTTTTGGCACTTCAAAGTATGGTAGCAGGACTTTCTGTATTCTGAAATGCCTTATATGGGAAGAGTCTAGTAAAACTATTAAAACAGTGCAAGACTGACTCCACTCTAGAGCAAAAAGCTTGGAGTTTCTTAACTTTTAAGACAGAACAGTCAACCCAACTTCACTCTGAAAGATTGTTCCATACTTCACAGCACCTATACAATAAAAAGCCTGCAACGACATACAAAAAACAATAGTTGGCTTTGCCAATTCTTTTATCATATTGCCATATATCTGCTTCAACACACTTCAGCTGAGACAGCAATTCCATTCCATTTTTCATTAATATAGTGACTAAGTCTAAGAGTTACATGTGCTGAACAGACACACTTTGTAGCTTACCTGTTAATTTCAGAACTTCCCATATCTCCTTGCATGCCTGGAGATGTTGAAGGGCCTGAGTCAAAAGCTCCGTCTATTTTACAAAATTTAAGAAGTTTTTTTTTTCACAGTTTTAAAAGCAAAAGGAATATACATGTCACAACTAACAGGATCTTCATACCTAACTATAAATTAAATTAAGAATCAGCCTAATTAGTACATCATCTACACCAGTTACTGTTTTGGGGTTTTTGGGGGGGGGGAGGTTCTCTCTCTTTTTCAAAGACCTCCACATCTCAGACAAAGCCTCTTCACACCGAATGTTCCATTGGTCCAGAAAAAAACATATGGGTTCCCTATGGGACATCATTTATTTTAGCTTCCAAGCATAAAATAGTGCTATTGAGACTGACAAACCACTAAATCCCACAACACAAATTGCTGTGCATTGCCCTCCACAAAAGTAACTTTCTACAACAATCACTGTACAGCAGACTTCCGTACTTCCTTCATAACCACCATACATTTTCCTTAATCTTCTTACCACAGTAAATACAACACCCAAAAAAAAGGACGTATGCATGCACAAAAAACAACAACAAAAAAGTGAGCTTTATCACAACCATACTGGTTACTACTTTCAGCAATGGCATAATCCTAAAGCTGCAGTTATTATCTGCCTGACCAACCCATGTTTAGCAGCAGACTCCTGACATAATATATAAGGTAGACTGAAATTCCTCTAAGAGAAGGTACTGCCATGACCCTTTGCTGATATATATCTGTTCAAATCCACTGAAGTCAACAGAACTAATTTATAGAAATCCAACATCTACAATTGTCTGGAAAACACTAAGTGCATTGATTCTAATTAACTATGAAAGGTTCCATGGTTACATTCTCAGTATCCTGTTCTCAGTGAAACAACTAAGACTTCAAAATCAAAAGAAAAAAATGCTACACTGATACATACAGAATCAGTTAACAGAGCAATGCCCTACCTGTTTAGAAGGTGTTACTTCTTGTCTCCCCACTTCCAGATCAACTGCAGCTGCCATTAACAGACATGTCTTCTGAGCAATTAGAACAGCTTTGTCAGAAGGACAAAACTGGGACAACTGACACCAAAAATAGGAAAAGGTAATGAGAATTGCGCCCATATAAATCAATTTGCTCGTGAACAGATGATTGCTGAGTCTCCTCTGTGACACTTTTAGTAATCAGTCATGAATAGTATATATTCATATTGCAATTTTACTTGTACAATTACACAAGAAGATTACTTAAGTGTAAAGCAGTGTTGGAGTTCCCTCTCTACAAACACATACAAAACTGACGGTGTTGGTAGAAATTCTGTATGGAGATTAGGACTCCAGTACTTAACATGTTTGTACTAATGATACAGTTTGCAAACATCAGAATCCATTTATTTTAGAAAGTTCTCATTGAAGTCTAAGTTTCTTATAATATTTTTAAGCAACAGAATGTAAAGTATGACAATAATGCTCACATTTTGTATTACAAGTCAACCTCCTTCTGACAAAAGTGCTCCATCTTCAGAGCATACAAGAATGTCTCTAAGGAGATACCTGACACATGCATGTAACTTCTAACAGAACTAGACAGATGACAATATTCCTCAATCAGAGATACTATTAGCAAGAGTACGTACCTTGAAAGAGAGTAGAAAAAAATCCCTCATCTTTTCAGGGCAGCCCCTGAACTGTACAGCTAAGTTCCAAGCTAACAAAGCCATAAAAAAAAATGGAGAGTAGAATAAAAATCTTCAACATTATAGGTATGCCCATCTAATCTCTAGTAATAAAGCAGTTCACATTCTCCAATTCAATTTCTTAATCAAAATATCATCAACAGCTCATTTAACAACAGCAAGAAATACCGTTATTAGTGATTTGTTAAAATATCTTATTCATGCTTTCAAATTTTGTCTTAATAATTTCATCACAACCAAGTATCCATTCTACCACATACCTTACCCACAAGAGCATGAATTGGAAGAAGCATTTTCTTATGTTAGTAAACAAAAGTAGTATCTGAATTAAAGTGTTGAATATTCCCAAGATAAATTAAAAAAAAAAAAAGGAAAAAAACCCATGAGATTTTGAAACATTCTCCATTTTACCTCAGCAGGGTCAAGTACATGGCAATTAAGCACACAATTCTGATTAGTAAATGGATGAGCCATCTAAAGACAATCAAATGATTCATGTATGAGAATCTGACCCAATTAAATGTTTAGATTCTACAGTGACTTTGCAGATTCTAACTTTCATGTTAATTTACTCCCTAGGACATGTTTTTGTAGTCTCCGAATTGTTTATTCTGTGAGTGAGAATGCTGCCTTGGAAAGGTCATGAGCACCACAAATTCCATTCACACTTGTGTTACTGTATTTGACCTCTGCTGCTTCTCTCCCTCCTTTGCTACTCTTTATTGGAGCATTGCTACATTGTGAGGATGTGTGCAAAATCATGGCAGATGTCTTCTGTTATTGATTTCAACTATCTTCTCTCCTGTATGCTCTGGCAGAAGCAAGAATCTAAAAAATTCCTTCAACCCGTTACCCTACGCTTGTATTTTTATCTATAAACAGCAGATGCACCGACTCCTTTACCAAAACAGTGTAACAAAGACTACTAAATGAGGATCCAGAGACACGCTACAGATAGTGCTTAGGACAGCTCCATAGGAGCTGCATTTCCCACTCGGAAACACTTTATCTATGATAATGTTTGCTGTTTAGATTTCATATACTGTAGTTCAAGGCAAACTCCAGGACTGCTGATTTAAGCGACTAATGAAGACAGTCTATCTGGGTGGCAGAGGTAAGCTCATCCTGCATCAATCACACCAGTACACCCACCTGAACTTCCTCATTCTTATTTTGCCTACATGAGAATATGCATACTCATGATCGGCAGTAAGGTTTTTTTATTGCTCTTAGTAGCATTTTTTTTCAGACATTGAAGAAAACCGTTATTCTTTCTATTTGCTTGATCTTAAATTTTACTTCTGTAACAGAGTCTTGGTAGTGAAGGGCTAAGAGAAAAATGGTGAACTCTGAAGAGTTGTATCATGGACACACACAACAATTCCTGTGGTGAAGGGAATAATGTATCAGCTATCCCATCAGTCAAATAGACGTTGTGTGAGTATTCGTCTTGATAACTGACTTAAACCATGAGCCGTATCAGATAGTTTCAGAAGACAGAAAATGCAGCAGGAGAACTTTAAGACTAGTTAAGGCAGCGACTGCCAAAGGTGACAAGTTTTATAAACCTACTACATCTTTAAACACTTGTTTCTTCCTTAAGGTCTGGCTAAGTGGAGGTGGAGGGGATTCAGTTTAGATTTTGAGAATGCAACCTACCAACTTTTCTAAACCAGTGAGCTTCAAGGATCCTCATTTCCCCTGTGAATTTCTCTTCTGTGAAAGACTCAGCAAGTCTCTTGTGAGCTGCAGAAAATATGTTGTTCCAATACATAAGTAACACTTTCTGAGCATAATAAAAACATTTCCAAGTCTAATAACAACACTACAAAACAGAGGTTTCCAAAACACCCATATAATTCCTGATAAAGAGCTATTCTCACAAATCTAATATGCTTGATCAGAGAGGCTTATAAAAAACATCAAAAGGTGCCTCAAACAGCATTTTAGATAAGATATATAAGGCTGCCAACAATTACTGCCTCTTCAAAGTTTACTGACACTGCAGTCTAATGCAGAGGAGTTTTACTTAATTTCACAAAAAGTTGAGGGTTTTTAAATTTAATAACAGGTTTGAGGCCTTTCTTCAAGGAACCTTTAATTAATTTAATTTTAGTCTTCATCTCTTCTCCTAGTTGCAGTAAGAATGGCTAGTGTAGAAGAAGTTCTACAATCTCATTAACTTTCTTGCCCAAGATAGGAAGAAAAGGGTAAAAAAGATTTAATGAAACTAAGTATTTCTTCTGATGGAGAAAAGTCCTCTGTAAAACTCCTTTACCTTTTCCAATGCAAACAAGACAATTCTTTTTCAAAGGACAGCACAACTTAAAAGTGGGAACCAATTTTGACAAGCCTCTCCCGTCTTTCAGCAATTTGCTATTATTCCTTGCAGTTTTCTAAGCCTTACAGGGCAAAAAAAATAGCATTAACTTAATTTTAAAAATGCTCCCTTTTCAACAGCTAGAACAGCAAAGACCACCATTGACATTTAATTAATGCCAGCAGAAAGTTACACTGTTAATTCAGTTCACAAAACCAAACTTCTTCCTTTTGTGGTAACCCTGCTACTAAAGATACTAACTTTGTTCCTGCCAATGCAGAGTAGGAGACTGTCACTTGAGGCCACCCACGCTGTGGCTTGTACTCAAATATCTGTTGTTTGCATGCACGGCCTTATGAAGGATTAAAGGAAAACTGCCTAGAAGAAACTGCCCCTTTGTCTGAGAGAAGCTCCCAAGTACAGGCTTTACTAGAAACAGTTTTCCCAACACTAGCCTGCAAGCTTTCCATAGCAAAAACCTGTAGCACTGAGATCCAACTTCAAAACACTGTTGAATCTCCAGTTTTAATTTTACTGATTTCAGTGGGAAGTTGGGAACCTAGACTGAAATAAGGAGTCTAAACATTTGGTTGGTATGGACCTTATCATATAATAAAATGTTCACAGATAGAAGAACTACAGAAAATGTAAATAAAACAAAAGCATACCCAAAGTCAAGTAAGTCAACATTGAGTTGATATCTTCATCTCTAGAATGGCGGAAAAATTAAGTTTTAGAAAATGTTTGATTAACTTTCTTACAACAGAAGACATTATTTATGTTGGAATACATCTCCGTAATTATGGATATAATCATTCTTCCCCTGACAAACATCTCAGGCATTAGAAACTTCTAGCATTTGAAGAAGCAGAAGGAATATTGAAGGCCTGTAAAAAGTTTTATCGATCTGCAGCAGCGAAGGTCATTATAGAAGTGCAGCGGGAGATTTTCTCAGTTGTCAGGGCTGCAGGTTAAACTTCAAACCCCACAGACACTACACTGTTTTCCTGACAGTCAAAATCCAGCAGTACAGTTCTCCTACTTCTAAGCCAACACACCATTTGTGAAGTGGCTAGTCTTCAGCAAGGGAGGTCGCACTCTGAAGTTCTCACTCAGAACTTCTGAAAGATATCACATCCTACTGTCAAAGTTAAAGAGGTGGCTTAGCTCACATTCCCCATCAAAAACACCTGACAGTCTTATGCATTAATAAAAGAGGAAGGCAAAGAGCAAATATTTAAAGGAAAGGTAGAAATAGAAAAGATGTTCCTATGTGATGTCATTAGGTCAAGTTGGGAAGTCATCTGGGTGGACTTTTTACTAGCATAAAAATTAATCTCTTGATTACTCTGCAAGAAAATAAGCCCAGCAAGAAAATATTACACCAGTTGTACAACATATCCCCCATAAGAAAATGGTTTTGCAAATGGACTCACCTTTTTTCTTCATTTTCTGCCACAACCTCTGACAACATAAGACGAACCAAACATCTAAATATGAGAAAAACAAGCAATGAAGAAGCAAGAAATTTTTTTCTAATGGTGTACTTTGTCCTTATTTTCCAGAAAGAATCCCACTTTTCTTCCTTACACTATCAGCCCATGGAACTCAGAGAAGTCAAACTGAGAGTAAGATCATACTAATTCCCATCCTATTGCCTTATTTTGTATATCACCTTGTTAAATCATGTAATAGTAAGTAAATAAATGTACTTTAACAAAGGCTTTAAGCAAATATTGGAATAAATACATCTGTCTCACAATATTTGTTTTTATAAACATGATGGAATATTTCAATAAGAAGATACTGCTTCATCAGAGGATACAAACAAACTGGTATTTTCACCAAATGTATTCTGGCAATTTCATTAGAGTCGCTATTGGTCATCTGTTCAAATCATAATGTAATCATGAAATTCAGACCAACTAATACTATTTGCTTGAGAGAGACTTGAAACATTGTCCTGGTTCCGGCTGGGACAGA